TGTAGGTAACGATTTCAATACATTTTTCTTCAAAAATTTCGTCCAGTTGCTCAATAACATTCGTTACGCCTGGGCACTTCTTACAAGAATTTAAATAACAATCAGTCGTTTTGTTTTTGCATACCATACGATCCAAACAATCCTTATCATTGATCAAAGGCAGCTCACAACCGGAAGTAAGTGATTTAAAATTGGAAACACTCACTAATAAACTAACATTTTCATGTATAGGACATGCAAAAACAGAGTGAGTACCAGAAGCACTTGCCAAAACATAATATTTCAGCCTTAAGCTAGCAAACTTTGAGAAACTTCATTTCATAGCTGGATACGTACTCGTAAAAATTTCATACAATTCTTTCAAATTATTTAATACTAGTCTTTTTGAATGGGTACCGATCTGCCGTCTACTTTTATCGAAACGTAATCTTTTTTTCCGGGCATATATTGAGTGTAGTCGTCAGACTGGTACAAGCTAACAATGGTATCGATAACGTTATCATCTAAAGATGGATGTTGTTTTGGGTTTGGATCCCCAATTAATCCCTTATCTCGAGCAACATTTTTTGCTATGCCTAACATGTGACGAGCTGCGGAAGAAAATGTGTCCTCAATTTTTTTTATAAGACCACGATCGGAAAATAGTCAAAATTTTAATTTTTTGAACGCGATCGGCCGAAGTATTGAAACTCTCCTGCAAAGCACTTACTATCGAGGACTCGTCGTCATTTGCATCAAGATCATCTGGATCATCCCGGCTCAAATTAAAATTTTTTTGATCAATTACGGACGATATTTGTTTTGATTTTTCTTTCAAATACCTTTTCAACGATAGTTTTCGTTTTTTGATGGGCGAAGATACTAAGAAGCCTTATCCTTTGTTGAAAAAATCCACTCGTTTACTTTGCAAAGATGGATTATCTCCCGAAAATCCAGATGTACCGTCACTGCTCCCAACTTTTATATCAGATTGTTCACTTGAAGAATCCTCCTTTTGTAGCGTCTAAAAAAAAATTAGACTAAAACATCGACATAAAATTCTACAAGAGGTAAGGTATGTCTGAACTCAATATAATAATCACATTATTGTACGTACTAATTTTGGTTGTTCATTTTCACTCTCTTTTGTATCTTCTTTTTTCAACTTTCATAACGTCAAGCGGCAAGAATAACAAATTTTTTGTTGTAATGCATTTGACAAAATTGCCAAGTCCAGTTTTAAAAGTTGGTTTTCATTCACTGTCCTCAAATCAGAAGTGTTTGTTGTTGGATGTTTGAAATTTAAAGGATTAAAACATCTGTCTGATCGATAACTAGTATTTTTAATTTTACTTGCCTCTTTCCGTGGCATTGTTACAAAGTAAAAATTATTTAACTTTAAATTACAACGAGTGAGAATATGTCTTGGTAGCGGACCAAAATAAACGCACAGCTGATCCAAAAACCGACGAACTTGTAGTACGGGGAATGTACGCGAGTAGCGTGGGTAACACTTTGAATCATAGATCGTACTGTAGGCAGGCTTTCCTGCAAAGTTTTACCTTTAACCACACCTGGTTTTTTTTTCCTTGGTACAAAATAAATTTTTTTTTGTACACAAGATGTTACCCCTCAATCCCGGAATAACTTCATTAAAAAATGCATTACTCACATAAGGCCTAACAGTAATAAAAAGTACTAATTAATACGTTGTTTTCGACAATCGCTACTGGATTATTTTTATAAATTTATATGCTTTTTTTTTTTTTTTTTCAACCGGGTTCCCGCTGTAGCCTACTGGCCTAGTCACCGGGGCCACCCACTCACCACCTATGTGTAAGGGTATATTGCCGCACCCATTTCCAACCCTTTTACTGATACCATATCTGAACCCATGGGCACAGTGTGAGTATCTCCGGTGAAACACCTTGCCAGTTAAGCTGACACTCTCTGCACTGACGGTGTATCGGGTCTACTCGCCACTGTGTAGCCTTTCTCCGGAGAGGACTCCATTTTCCAGGACGTCCACTCCTCGCCGGTTAAGCCGGCACTCTCTGCCGAAGCATCGGATCCAGGCTAATTAGCATCCCCGGAGAAGCCCCATGTTTCAGTGACCACTTCTTGCCGGTACGGCCGGCGATCACTGCCTGGCGCATTGGATCCGCTAATCCCTATCTATAGCTTTAACACTGTTTCGCATTTACCCAGGTCCGAAGACCTGTGGGGCAAGGAAAAAATCATGGAATTACGCTGAAGAAAAATTCCACGGAAAAACCCGCCCCGAAAAAGCCGGGGTTACATAGAAACTTTTCGCGATAGAAACAATTTTTGAAAAAATCTGCATTCACCGGAAATCGAACCCACGACTCCTAGAACAGCGTTATATCAGTAACAAGCACGCTTACCACTGAGCCAACGCCGCTCCTTTAAATTTATGTACTGACGTTTCTTGTAACTTATAGTTCTGTTTATTTGATCAGTAAATATTATTTTGCTCTGCAAAGTTTGCATTTATTACTGAAAAATTGCATGTAACTTTTAGAAGATTCGATCGTTTTTGAGGAGATGTATTAACTCGCTGAAAAAAATTAATGTTGTACTTTACATGCTGGAAGTACGCATGAATTTTTTAAATATTTTTTACTAGCAGAATATTCAAGAAAAAAATTTCTGAAATATCATTTTCTAACATTGCTTTTACGGGGGAGAGCGATTATTCATCCTTTGTTGCACAAATGTCGAGGCAAGAGATGTATTCATGATGAGGAAAAAGTTTGGATGAATAGCTTAGCTCCTAAGGAAGACTCTTGTAACAAAAAATGTGTACCTTATCAGGCATTTCGGAAAAATATCTGTACAAACGTATACAAAGTCACGAGCGGGTCCTATGCTAAGTGTGTGGGAGAGAACCGAGCATCGTCTGCTGCCTGCTAGTCTTTTCATACGGAGCGAGGATTGTTTACAAAATTGCGTCTAAAATTTGTTAAACTTAAAACCATAATTTGAAACTTGGCTTAGCCCTTCTTAAGACCTCAAACTATTATGCTGTGCCAAAAAAAATTTGTTTTTAGAAAATTTATAACCCACTTTTGTTGACGAAAACTGAGTCTCCGTCTACTTTTTTGAGGTTAATTTTTATCGTGCAAATAACATATTTTTAAGTTTTATACACGAACTATTGGAGTTGAGCATTGACGAGTTGAACACAATTAAATTAACTGTGATGTAGTGAGCGGACATTTTCATGCACGGTTAGTACAACTCACTTTAACACGTTGTCTTATATGAGCCCCCGAATACCCGCTCACCACCCCCCAGAAAAACGACCGAACTTTCTTAAGTCGCGGGTTCGACGTCGTGGGTAAGTAAAGTGTACTTGATGAATGCGAGGCCGTCGAGCGGTTTTAGCTCAAGCTTCTCTTGCTCCGATTCACCCACTCTACCACACATTCGAAATTTTAATTATCGAACACGTCAATCTATACCCATATTCATACTACATGCAGACGACAATAGCTGGTGATACACACAGCTGCTTGTCCACGCACTTTCTGTCACTCACTCTATTGGTATGGTAGGCAAAATACCTTTATTAATTTATTTCTCAAATTTTTGCTTGTTCCGAGACGTTGTAAAAGTGCTGAATCGATAGAAAATTTTCTGCTCTACAAGCTAGCATTTGTGTTTTTTCTCTCTCTTGTACAGTTTACGAGATACTTGCAAAATAACATTTAAGCGCTTTTTTAGGGGTGATCAACAGAGCTTTGACAAGCTTAAGTACTCATCTTATAATCTACGAGTTCGATTACGTATATTATCTAAAATGTTTCTTTCGAAAACAATTTTGAGATTAAACGGATTTACTATCAGTTTAAACAGATGAAATGTCAACTGCATTCGTAGAATTAGACATGGTTAAGTGACGATAAACCTTATGCCTAATCTTACAACTTTCAACTAACTTAAGCACATTTGATAAAATCTCAGGTTCAATTCGATATAATCAATCATTCATTTCAATACTAGTCGCTACCTCCCTTTTATAATAGGATGTACAACACATTTATGACAAAAGATATAAGATTCAACTACAACGCATTTATGACAAAAGATATAAGATTCAACTACAACGCATTTATGACAAAAGATATAAGATTCAACTACAACGCATTTATGACAAAAGATATAAGATTCAACTACAACGCATGTCATGTAATAAATAATGACTTGTATTTATATAAACGGTATATCCACCACTAGTCCCTTTTATATCAGAGGTAGTTGGCAATGATTCGACACCTGAAATCAGGACAAAGATTAAAAGAACGTAATCTGAGGCAGAGAATATAGAAACACATCCCTTTATGTATCTCATAGTACATGAAGGGACGTGTTTCTATATTCTCTGTCTGAGATTTTTTTTTTGATATCTCTCATAGGTTGTATGAGATTTTTCAATAATCCTGAGCAAAGAAACGAAATTTTCGTTGCTTGGAGCAATAGGAAATGACAGTCTTGCAGCATAGTATGTAGGATAACATAATTTAAAAAAGAATTTGGCTTTTACATGAAATATAAATTTCACGTAAAAAATCGTAGTTAATAAAAAAATATAAAATTTCCTTAATAATTTGGATTAACAATATTAGGAGCAGTTTGGTCCAACTATGACTTAGAAGGAATCAGTTTCAGTGGTGTCCCAAAATAATGATGGGATTTTGAAGACTACTAAAATGAGCATTAAACATCATTAGTAGATCTTTTTGAAGTATACTAAAAGGAGCATTCCCTACCCGAGACATAAGTAAGTAAATCAATCATACTTCTTCTACAAGATATTTTTAAAAAGTGTTGTCAGTAGGCATACTAACCGTCATAAGAACCAACTTACGAAGTTCAAACTAATAATAATTATTGATAACACAAAAGTAGTTGTTGTGAAATGTTTCAAAAAATACTGTAATATAATAGTATACTGAAAAATGAGTTAATTTTTGCTGAGTAGCAGCATAAAAATTTACCTTTACTAGAAATCCGTTGTATACATAGAGCCCAAACTTGAGAATCATTTATGAATTTCTTAATACATTCCGAATTGTTTTTTTCTTCAAGAGCTGAATTAAAAGCATGTGGAGCATTTTCTTCTTCAGGATGTAAGACACTTACAGATTTGCGAAGGTAGTTTACAAATACTTCAAAATCGATAACATTAGAATGTTGAGTTTCCGCCGACTCAACAGAAGCTTCCAAGGAATCCCCCATTATAGAGATTAGTTGAAAGGACTATCCATTTACATTTTTTCATTAACGCACAAAAAGTTGGGTTTATATTTTAAACTTTTAATAACTCGTAAGTTTCAAAAAATTTGGCAACTACTTACACAACTCAGAAATATAATCGATTGATTATTACAAGCATTACTAGCGACCACACATCATTATTGTAAGGTGAAAGCACTTTTTAAATTACAGGTACAAGGGCTGAGGATAAGGCTGCAGTCACATGGAGCGCGATAGAGCGAGCAGGGTAGGAATTTCTCCATTAAGTCTATTGCGCCGCGCAATAGGGACATCCTGCAGCGCAACAGACTTAACACAGCCGCTTACGGAGAAATTCCTATCCTGCTCGCTCTATTGCGCTCCATGTGACTGCAGCCTAAGGATACACGATGCATCCAGACCATGGTGTAAGAATAGACGTGGGCCGAAGGCCCGCCTCTATCTCTATCGAGTCCAATTTGTGTCGCAGTACATCTAAAATCCGCTAGGTGGTTTCGAGTAGTAGAGGCAGTTTTTATAATGGTCAGTATGACTATATAAAAAAAAAAAAGAAAAAAGAAAAAAAAAATTTTCATACTATCAATGGCCTGCACGACACGGATCCCTCTGGTGGCTAGTATCGGTACTGCGACAAAATCTGAACTTTTTTTACAATGCGTTGAGGTAGGCCTTCGGCCCACCTGTCTATTCTTACACCATGATCCAGACCAGAACATAATAACACATTCACATCAAGGATCCAGTGGCTTTGTTCGGGAGCTCAAATCCGGTGACATAATGGTGACTTCCGGTGTCTTATTATTGACAATGGCCGAAAATAAGACACCAGAAGTCACCATTATGTCACCAGATTTGAGCTCCCGAACAAAGCTAGTTCATCCAATACGTTTTTTAAGAGACGCTAGGTCGGTCCCATTCCTCAAGGAAGTATATCTATTTCCCTAGGGGCTAGGGGTACGCTTTTTTGTAGTTGATCAGTCGGTCGCATGATGCAGGAATGGTAATAGATCTTGTATGAAAGTTGTATCGCGTTCAAAACGTTTTCAATTCGCTGTTTGCCAAAAGCCAACACAAGCGCCTATCGTCCAAGTCCCCAGGGCGGTTACTGGCAACTTTAATTATTAATAAAACGTTTCATTAAGAACATACGCGCCTATCACCCAATGACCCGGAAAACTTACTGGCCACTCTATTAAATAAATAATTATAAACTAATAACATGAGAACCTATCACCCGATGACCCAGGGCGCTTACTGGCCAGCACTAAATAATAAAGTGTTTATTAATAACAAAAGCGCCAATTACCAACTATGTTTGTCGTATTGGACAATTTATCAAAATGTTAACTTGCTGATACGTGTTATCAACTGACATTTTATTATTAACTAATGTGGCCAATAAGTGCCCCCGGTCATCGGTTAATAGGCACTTGTGTTATAAGTTAATAATAATTATTTATTGAATAGAAAGGCCAGTAAGCTCTCCGGGTCAGCAGGTGATAGGCACACTGAGAAAGATTTGGTGCTGCAGTTGTCTCTCCCCCTACAGCAGCTGTATAAAATCACGATTAGTCTACTGTCTCTGACTACTGGGATAGCAGGTATGCCAGGTATCCCAGTCGGAACAGCGCACGTACGAGCCCAAGTATAGTAGCGTTACCTATAGTGTGGTTCGACGTAAATACCATAGGTTAGGTGCACCGCATATACCCATTCAGGTCTTGTGCAGCTCTCGTCTCAACTGGTATTGCTGACGCACTAAACTTCCGAACTATCACTGTACTACCGGTGGTACTCTGATGGCGCTAAATCTTTCTCAGTGCACTTGCGTTATCGGTTAATCAGTATTTATTCAACAAAGTAGCCAGTAAGCGCCCTGAGTCATCGGGTGACAGGCGCTTGTGTTATTAGTTAATAATTATTCATTTGATAGAGTGGCCAGTAAGCTCTACAGGTCATTGGCTGATGGGCGCTTGTGTTATTAATGTAACGTTTTATTAATAAATAAATAAGCCAGTAAGCGCTCTGGGGACTTTGGACTTGGGTGATAGGCGCTTGTGTGGCCTTTCAGCATACAAGAAGTGTAGACTGCTCGTTCCTGTATACGCCGCTTCCGAGTAGAAATAAAAGTGGGCAGCCCAGCTTAAGCGCATGGTCGAAATCAAGCAACCAAGCCTGGCCGGAGGTGGGTTTGTAATACGGCACTGACTTGGACGCAGCTTGGCCTAACTTGGCATGACTTTTGCCCAGTAATCGCCCACTTTTATCTGCACTGATATTGGACATATATATACAAACATATAAGTTTGTATGTATATTCATGTGTTTTCTAAGCGCACGCACATCATACCATATTTGTATACTAAGGTATAGACGTCCCTGTATTATACAGATCTACAGACGAAAGTGATTGATTACTGGGCAAATGTCATGCCATGTCAGGCCAAGCTGTGCCCAAGTCAATGCCGTATTACCAACCACCTGGAGGCCAAGTCAGGTGCCAAGCTGCGTCCAAGGTATGCAGCATGGCAGCCAAGCTTGGGCCCAGTTTTCGACCACTTTAAATTTCTACTCGGGCTGAAGTAGGAGTAGAAAGAGACACAGCAGTGAGCGAGAATATCTGTCTTTCTTGCACATTGACAACGATGGGGTGGGGGTCTGTAAACTAGGTTCGGTTAATGCAACATCCTTACCATTGGCGAAGTGCAAAAGTGACAGATACCCGCATTCAACGTTATGTCTCTTTCTTATACAACTATGCGTCGGACCGTGCCCACACGCGTTTGATGTCCGTCGAAATCGTGCCCAGTACCCTAGTTCTTCACTGCCAACGTGCAAACCTTAAATAAACTACAAAAAAAGTGTTAAAATACGGGATGTATTAGGGAGTTAGTTTATTTAAAATTGGCAGCAAAGAACTAGGCGCAATTTTCACGGACGTCAAACGTGTACGGACGTGGTCGGACGCGTCTAGGTGGCTACGGCCTAAAAATCAAGGCATATCGTTCCGAGTTCCAAGGTCTTTTTTTCGTGCTGGACTGCGCCTTCCATCGTAACACCATGTTGGAGAGAAATGTGACTACTCACTACTCTATAACATAACGCCGAAGAGCCTGTACAATAAAGCGAATTGGCCAAAGTTTAAACCATGAACATATAAGAAAAAAAGACTGCTCGTTCTTTTGTACAGCGCTTGAGCACAAGTAGAAGGAGACACAGCGTCAAACGTGGATATCTGTCTCTCTCGCACATTGCCAAAGGTCAGGATGTGCAAGAGAGATAGATACCCACGTTCACTGTTGTGTTGTCTACTTGTGCTTCAGCGCTGAACATGAGAACGAGCAGTCTATTTTTCCTATATGTCTATGGTTGACACTAAAACCTATTTCACGCATCTAATTATTAAATTAAGATATATACATAGACATTTAAAGAATAGACTGCTCATTGGCAGCGCTCTCAAAAGTGACTGCCGAACTTGCGGGAAATTCAAATTAGCTATATGGAGCAAGACGCAAAACCCCAGATAACTCGACAACATTTCATACACCATAACTTAATAAATTAATCCTAAGCTATTTAACCCAATAACCCAACGCACCCAAAATCAGTATCACAAGCTTTAATAATTGATAAAATACATTAAACAATAACGCAAGCGCCAATCCCGTCACAACCTGGGGCGCTTTCTGGTCGCTTTAATTATTAATAAAATAAATAAAGTAGAGCAAGCGCCAATCCTCACACAACCTGGAGTGCTTTCTGGTTGCTTTAATTATTTATAATAAATAAAACAATAACGCAAGGGCCAATCCCCACACAACCCGAGGCGCTTACTGGTCGCTTTTTTAATTAATATGATAAATAAAATAACACAAGCGCCAATCACCACATAACCCGGGGCGCTTACTGGTCAATTTGTTAATTAACATGATAAATAAAATAACACAAGCCCCAATCACCACACAACCCAGGGCGCTTACTGGTCGCTTTATTAATTAATAACTATGAATTCATTATATTATTCAACAGAGCGACCAGTAAGCGGCCCGGGTTGTGTCGTGATTGGCACTTGTGTTATTCTATTTACCATACTAATTAACAAAGCGACCGGTACGCGCCTTGGGTTGTGTGGTGATTGGTGCTTGCGTTATTGTTTTGTTTATTATAAATAATTAAAGCAACCAGAAAGCGCCCCAGGTTGTGTAGGGATTGGCGCTTGCGTTATTGTTTAATGTATTTTTTAAATTATTAAAGCTTCTGATACTGCTTTTGGGCACGTTGGGTTATTGAGTTAAATAGCTTAGGATTAATTTATCAAGTTATGGTGTATGGAATGTTGTCGAGTTATCTGGGGTTTAGCGTCTTGCTCCATATAGCCAATTTGAATTTCCCGCAAGTTCGGCAGTCACTTTTGAAAGCGCTGCTCATACAGAGTTGGGTGAGGAGGATATGATTTTGCATTTTTTTCACTAGGACCTACACAAAGCTACAGAACCTATTAAGAAAAATGCAAAAGCTGAATAGAAGGGGGGAGGAGGCCAGTGGTTCTCCCCAAATGTGACTGGCAAACTTGTGGGAAATTCAAATTGGCAATGTGGTGCAAGACGCAAATACCCAGATAAATCGACACAATTACTTGCACAATAACTTAATAAAATAATCTCAAGCCATTTAACCCAATAACCCAATGGGCCAATAAGCAGCCTCGTGAGTTTGAATAAATAATAAAACTTATTGATTAACAAACCAAGCACCAATCCCCACAGGACCCAAGGCACTTACTGGTTGCTTTAATTATTTCTGATTAATAAAACAATACCGGAAGCGCCTGTCCCCACACAACCAGGGGAGCTTACTGGTTGCTTTAATTATTTATGAATAATAAAATAATGCTGCAAGCACCTATCCCCACACAACAAGAGTCACTTACTGGTCACTTATTTAAATTACTATTAATAAAATAATAATGCAAGCTCTCATCCCCACACAACAAGGGGCACTTACTGGTCGCTTACTTCAATTACTATAAATAAAATAATACCGCAAGCGCCTATCCCCACACAACCATGGGGTGCTTACTAGTTGCTTTAGGTATTTATGATTAATAAAATAATGCCGCAAGCACCTATCCCCACACAACCAGGGTGGATGACTGGTCACTTACTAAAATTACTATAAATAAAATAATAATGCAAGCTCCTAT